CTTCTTAGTAGAAAGTAAGAGAGCACAGAATGACTGGTAATGTCTTTCACGGGAAGTGATCAGTGATTAGAGTTTATAAGTGGAGATATATCAGCAACAACTACAGGTAAATTGGATTAATGCAGTGCATTCTGCCTGCTATAGCTGTATTTGCTATTGATGTGCTGGCTCAGACAGAACGGCAGGGTTGCTGATCTGCACGTCCAAACCAGAGACAGACGCTGGAGACTTTCTTCATTTCCCAATTTAATATATATTTAATATATATATATATATATAGATATGGTGACTTGTCTTTTATTTGACTACAATATAATAAATAAATCAATAACATCAATGAAAACATACTTTCATGACAGCAAGTGGAGTCTCCCTCTGCTGGGCATTCGGAGAATGCACGTTTTAAACGCTGCTTCATCAGCTTTCGTCTTCAGACTCTGAAGGGTTTGGGTGTGCATGTACACCTCTGTGTTGAGTCGGTTTTATCCCTGCAGCCTCCTGAAGGAAGCAAAGCACTCATGATCTGAGAAGTGCTGCATCAGAGAGGCGTGTCATCACTGCACTGCACTCATCAGACTGACTCACTGATGACTCAGTGTGGTGAGTTTATGTGGGGAAAGTCAGATTAGATGTAAGATGAGGTTTCACTCTGTGATGAGTGAAAACCGGTGCGATAAATTCTGTCGCCTTTTGACAGATTTGTGTTTTTCAGTCTACGCGTGGGTATAATTTTGCAGAGACTCTGTTAGTTGAGCTGCTGTGCTTGAGAGTGACAGATTAGACTGATTGATGATTATATTTAATTGTCACCACAGTCTCAGCCCTAAAAGCCCTGTACATATACATAATAAGCAGCTGACCTGTGCAGCCTCAGCTTTGCACTTGTTTCATATAATACAACAATCTCATAGTCGGAAACTGATCCTCATCTCCTGTTTTCAGTGAATGCCACGTGTTCAGACGGCAGTGATGAGCCCCTGGAGGTCCTGAAGATTCAGCTGCAGGAGTTTGCAGAACTTGTCGTTGATGGAAATGATGGAGGTGGGAAGGTGTTCATGCGCTCACTCACACGTTTTATATTCTGTCAAGGAAAACCCTTCATCAGTCTATAATAGAGATTCACACAGAGACCAGAATCGGTTAAGAATCTCTATTTATTTATATATACTTTTCATTTGTGGCATTTAAACTTAAGCAACATGCGTACAAACCTCACTTTCAGGTCTGTACTTTCATTTGGTTAGTAATATTGTCAAGTGTTCTCTGTCTGTGAGGTGCCCACACTTGAAAAAGACCAGACTTTGAATTTCACTCAAATTTATTTTGACCAGCTAGTTTGATAGGTGATAGGTAGATGGATAGGTAGGTAGGTGAAAAACCTTTCAACACAAAAAATAAAGAACATTTCATTAATCATTCAGATAAATTAAGTGCATTATACAGAATACAAATGAAATAACAAAAATATATACACTTCAGTAAAGCCATTTAACATAGCTAAAGCTAAATACTTTTGTCTAGACTATCATTTGACCCAGTTTGTTAGTTTTACATTCATTGGTTTTTAATCACAGAGCTGAGTAATTTCAAACAACGAAGATGAAATAAACTGTGGTTCTTAAATACACAAAATGTGTCTACCTTGCATTTTACACTTTTTATAAACAATTAAATTTTCAAAGTATACATTTTAGAGTTTGCAAATATTTTAATAGAAACTTTAACCAAGGATTTTCTTTTCCAAAGAATTTAGCTGATAGTTTAAACTCCTTGATGTAGTTGCTAAACATCAAATTAAACTAA